CTGTGGTAGGGCATGTGATAATGCTGCCCTGAAGCGCTTCTAGCCCTGCTTAATCCTCATCTTGTTCCCCCTTCTTATCTGTTCTGCTTGCTTCCTCTTGTGGGTCATCCTGCCTGGCTAAGACACCAGCTTGTTCCCCTTATCTTTCTTCAGTGTAAAACCAAAGCAATCAGTAGCTGTGCTCAGGCTGCCTTGTGATAAACCCCCAGTGATTTAGATGGCCTGTCAGTCCTTCTCCTTGCAGCTGTCAGGAAGACCAGGAGCAATGATGCTGACAGCCAAAATGCAGGGTGCTACAGAAGCTTTTTTGCAAGAGCTGGTCATCAGCTAGATGTGAACAGCTTCTCTGGGGCTGTCCTTAACTGGCTTGGAGCAGCACACTGACCCAGCAGAAGGGGGTATAAGCTGGGCTTGCTTTGTTTCATGTGATGGGTGCAATAGCTGCACACTCTCTCTGCAAACCACTTGCTCTGAAATACAAGCACTTGGAGGAAGTGTGGATCTCAATAGGAATGCATAGATGAGCTATTTAAAGAGGTGCTGAGGATGGTTTTCAAGATGATACCATTTATTCCATGTGCCTACCTCATGCTGCCATTGACATACAACACCCCTTTGGATTTTTGTGGTGATTCTGAGCAAGTTAGGCAAGTAGGTTGTGAATTTTGTTTCATTTCCTCCTATCTGAGAGGATCATGGTTCTGATGGGCTTTGTCTCCAAGGCTGCAAGTCTTGTTTAAGGGTGCTGCCTGGTCTTGACTGAATATTCCAGTACTGTTCTGCTGTTCCCTGTGCAGGATGAAGGTGTCTAGCCCTTGAACCCATGGAAAAAAAAAAAAGCTTAAGCTAATTACTGTTCATTATGAACCTCTAGGAAAAGGAGGAACTTGTGCTAGCTAAAAAGAAAACCCATTTTGCAGTACCCAGCACTGCTTGTGTCAGGCAACTCTTAGGGGACAGCTGAACTTTCATCTGTCTTACTTGGTTAACACCTCTGGGAGGGGCAACTCTAGTTACAGCAAGAAGAGCCCACAACTTCATGGAAAAAAAAAAATCCAGTTTGCTGCCTTTAGTTCTATGCATGATCTTTCCCTGTCTCTGATAGCAAACTCTTTTTTTTAAAAAAACAACCCTATGCGATATACAGCTTCCTTTCTGGCCCTAGGGGAGAGGATAACGAGTCATGGGAGGACATTGCTTCATGCCCTGGAGGGTGCTTGGATATCTGGCAAGGGCAGTCTAGGAGCAAATTCAGCTGTAGGTCAGAGCTGCTCAAGGTAAATGCACACTTAAACGTGAATGGTAATTAGTGAGACCAGAAAGAGAAACCCATACGTGAGAACTTGTCAGAGGAAATATAGATGTGCCTGGATTTTGCTCTAGAAATAAACAAAAGGTGCAGCTCTTGTTTGCTTATCAGAGTAAAAGCAGGGCTTTGGGAGGATGGGGAGAGAGTCAAGGACAGCTGAAGATCTTTTTATTTGTTTAAGATTTCCTTGTCTGGGCAGGACAGCAGTTGACATGACTGCAGCAGGGTTGGGCTGTGTTGCCTCTTTCCTTTCTTTGCCTGCTTGCTTTGTTTCTTTCCCTTGTGCCTGCCTTTCCCACTTTGAGGCCTGCTCAAGGGCCTTCAGCTTCTTGCAGTGTCTTGCTGCCTCCCAGCACTGCAGACACAAGTCCTGAGGATATGAGGTTGACTCTTCTGCCCTCAGTGGTCTTTATGTCAGCTTGTTCTCATCTTTGCAACTCGGACATCTGTGGGTTAAATGATGTCTTGCAGAGGCACTAACAAGCAGTCACTGGCAATGTGGCTCAATTTTTTCTTGGTAGGTTAATGCCCCTGCAAGCTGTGGGGAGCTCCTTGTATTAATTATTAATTAGTTGGTATGCTTACAGTGCTAAGTGTATCTCCTTATTCACCCTGAAATGTATACAACAAATATAAATTGATGCTCTTCTCCTTCTGTCCTCACAGCTTTTGAGACTTAGCAACTGCTCCAGAGAAGTGTCCCCTGTGTAAAACCCTAGGCTCCTGTACAATGTACCAGTCCAGCTTTGTGCCACGGGAATATTACCCAGCCATGATCCCACCTTCTGCTTATACCTACCCACCACTGCGGCCTGGGAGAGCAGAAGACGTGTCCAGATCTGTGATGTTCCCTCCCATCCACATGCACAACTTCTACAGTCGACCCATCACCTTTGTGGTGGACAGGAACAGCTACCCTGACTATGCAGGAGGTCAGGTGGAATACCATCATCTCTATAGTGCCTCCAATCCCTACATCCATCCATACCACACCTGGCACTTCCCTCCCATGGTCCCTATTCCTCTCTACAACCCCTATGCAAACTACCATCCCTATGCTGCCTGCCAGAGGTCAGATCAGTATCGAGATACATGGCCAGAAGGCTTCACAATGAGAGGGGAGCTTCAGTGGGGCAAGCTTGGAAAGGTGTTTGGGCCTAGGAAAGACCTCCCAGAATTTGTGAAGGATGATCTCCGGAGGGTTTATGGCACCTACCCCCGGACCAATGTTTCCATATCCTATCGGAAAGGAGAGTTCTTGGTCAAAGGGGACCCCAAGATGGAAGACCAGGAATATGCAGTGGAGAAAAAAGTCATCCAGCAGGCTGTGACCCCCAGTGAGGCAGATGACAGCAGTGAGGACCGGAACCGTAAGAAGAAAAAGAAGCTGAGACATTGAGGGAGTCAGATACCCAAAGGACTGATGCTCCAGTACCCTCATGGGAGCCAGTTGGCAGCTGGTTTTGGTGTGGTTGGCAAGTAAGACAAGCAATGGATGCCACCATGCTTGTTGATTTATTTTAATTGCTCCCCATCCACCACAGTCTTATGGCAGATTTACCCTTACTGATGCACAATGCCCATCCTGTGAAGAAACCACATGACACTTGACTGTTGGGTCAGCTCATTGGTCCTGGTTTTGAAGTGAGCATTTGATTTCCACTGGTTTGGTTGATTGGTCACAGACTGGTATGGGATCCCCAAACTGCTGCCCTTGATCAAAGAAGATGGGCCTCTTCCTACCTTGTTCAGGGGAAGGGCCTCTGAGCTGGTTCTCTTCCTGGAGAGATAAAAGCTGAATTTCCTTCAGGCTGAGGGCAGTGCAGGGCCCAGAGGACACAGGGGGCCTTGAACACTCTGAAGAACAATTGTCTGCATGTCTTGTCACTGCTGTTTATGACCATGTCATGATGCTTTATCACCACGTGAGGCCTGTATGCAGCACTTTGCTACACTCTGGTGTCCCCATCCTCTTACACTTGATAGTGTGGTGCTCAGTACTCCTGGTCACATGTCCGTGTTGAAACTGCTGTTGAGGCCCTGCTCTGGTCTGACTTGGCTCTGGTTAGAGGTGCTGGCTCTCCAATGAGGTTACTGGAGTTGTGTGAATTACAGCACTTCCATAACTTGGTGGCTGTACTGGAAGAGCTGTGGTGGAGGGCTGTTAGGGGCTGGGTCTGACTTACTTGCAAACTCTTCTGTACCTTTTAAATGACTAAACAATAAAAAAACCCCAAATGCAAATGCTTATATTTCCAATTCTTAACTACCTAACGTCAGTCTCTTTTGTGAACAGCTTGCAATCAGATCTGGCACCTGAAGTTAGGGATGGATTCTACTATGGTTCATGTCCAGCCATGGTGCCTTGTCCTGCTTGGCAGTACTCTTCCTTGCCCTAGCTTGTTTTCTGCCAGCTTCTGTAGGGACCAGCAGGAACTTTATAAGCATACAGGAGAAACAGGGGATCCTCTCTGTCACCTTGTAGTTTCCTAGTCTCCCACTGACCTCACACATGGGAGGGAATGGGATGTTATCCATCTGCATAGCAAAGGAGGGACTGTGAGTGTGAACTTGGTTGTTCTGAGTTTCTATAAAGTGAAAGCAAGTGGAGTTTCTTTTATTTTCTTAGTGCAACAGGTTTTGTTTAACCAATTGCCAAAATGTCTCAGCAACTGTCTGCATTTCCCCTTCCCCATTTAGCTTCTTGGAAATGTTAACTCTTCTGCCAGACAAAGCTGCAAGAGGGCTGAACCAGAAAAACTGCTCTAGAAACCTTGGACCAAACTGGTGCTTCTTGGCTGTGTGGTAAGCAGTGACAGTGGGACTTGCTGAATGGGCTAGAAAAGGCCTCCATTAATGACAGCTGCATAATCAGATATGCTTTAGGTTACCTAGTATAGGAAAAAGGCAGCAGTTCCTGCTGGGTTGGTTGGTTGTTTGTTGAGATGTTTTTTATCTCTTCCTTGGCTGAGCAGGCTGTCCTGCCTAGTTAGGGATGTGCAGTTAAATGCCTGCATTGGTGGTGCACTCCCTGTCCTAGCAGCAGCAGCTCCTTTGGGCAGTGATCCCAAAGTTCATGCATTGGATCCTTGCACAGTGCTTCAGCACCTCAGTGGGGTGTGGGAAGGAGCTTCTTCCCCATCTCCTGGAGCTGTTGTGGGACACAGCTGAGCTGTCAGAAGTGGATGCTGCCTACCATGGGCAGGGGCAGCCTTAGGGGAGATCTTGGAGGAGGTGCAAACCAGCTCTTCTAGGCAAGATAAGAAAGAGCATGGGGTTTGCCATACAGTGATTTTGAATAGCTACATAAATTACAAGGACTTGCACAATAACTTATCCTAAATGCCATTCTTCCAGCTGTTAGGTTCCTGGTGGCAGCATGACACCATGCTATAGTGGAAATGTCCCCAAAACTCAAGGGGCATAGCCAGGCTCTCCCAGAGGTATGTGATGGATGGGTGAAAACAGAGCCTGCTGCCTACACAAATACTTGCTCTAAATATGTGTCGTTGCTGGGGTCATCCCCAAGGTCCATGGGGACACAGAGGGCATAACCCTTAACTTTACTCATCCTGTCTATCTTCTCCAAAGTTTTGTTTGGTTTTACTGCCTGGACTCTGAACAGGAGATTGCTGGGCACACCCAGGCTGTTGTTCTGACAATGTGTATTTTTAGCAGAGGCTCACAGTTGCTTGCAGTACATCAGTAGGTAGTAATGTATTTATTTTCTAAAATGCCATTTAACTTCCAGAAGGAAGAAAACAATCTATAGTTGGGTTTTTTTCTCCCTTAGGGGAAGATGTGCTACAAACCTCTAGTAGCTCTCTGATAGCAGATATTTCTGTGGTGGCCATACTCCCCTCCACCCCGAATCTGGTCTCTGCAGGAGCAAAGATTTACATATTCCTTGTAGGAAGAGCTCACAGTTGCCTTTTCTTCCTGAAGGTTTGAGGCTCAGTTGCTGCCCAGCTGCAGAACTGAATCCATAGGGCATTTTGGAGGCTTTAACGCCTATGGAATTCAGTTCTCAGAGCCAAGCAGCCAGTGCGAGTCAGCTTCCCTGGCTCCAGCCAGCTGTGTCTCCATCTGCAAAGGGGGAAAAATAGCAAAGAGCTCATCATATCTTTGACACAGGGCAGGCACTGAGCTGACACAGATTTTTGCAACTGGGAGCTGCCACAAGGAGAAGACTCTGGCACCTCTCACCCCAGAAGCAGCACAGACAGACATAGCTTTCTTTGGAAACTTTGCTGAAGTTGGCTGGCTCTTTTTTTTCCACTGCTTCAGCATATGCTGTTTGGAGTCACGGCAAAGTTTCAGGTCAGCCCTGAGCTCTGCAAAACCTGCTAGAGCTGTAAGAGAAACACCATTTCTGCCACCTAGGGCTAGTATTGGCAAATGTTGGGAATCCCCTATGTATTTGCTCTGTAAGGTCAGCCCTGAGCTCTGCAAAACCTGCTAGAGCTGTAAGAGAAACACCATTTCTGCCACCTAGGGCTAGTATTGGCAAGTGTGTTGGGAATCCTCTATTATTTGCTCTGTGTGCAGGTGTCACACATCCCTTGGTCTAAACTGCTCTTCCTAAATGCTCTTTCCTCAGTGTGAGTGTCTGAAGAGGGGCAAGCTGTGCCAGGGGGATGCTCAGTCCTGCATGAGCAGCCCAGCACTCCCAGGCACTGACCCTCTGCTCCATTCATACTGAAATCAATGCCTGTAGGAAACCCTTGAACTGGGAGGTGCCAGCTGAGGGCAATGGTTTGTGCAGCAACTCCCAGGCACTGACCCTCTGCTCCATTCATACTGAAATCAATGCCTGTAGGAAACCCTTGAACTGAGGTGCCAGCTGAGGGCAGTGGTTTGTGCAGCAGGTGCTACCATGGGTGGACCATAAGGTGCAGGGGCTTTCTGCCCACTTGGAAGTGGGAAGGAACACGGGGTAATTCTGTGTAAAAGGAAGAGTGAAAGGCCTTTTCCAGATAGGTCAGAGAGTACATTCAGGGAGGGACTGGTCTCCATCTGGGTTAACCTGGGACTTGCTGGTGCATCCTACAACTAACTATACATGTGCCCTTTGCTGCCCACTGCCCCCACCCTCTGGTTTGGGCTGCAAAGCTCACATGCATGGAGGGACAGACTTGAGGGATGCACCGGGATCCCCTTAAGCACCCACAGAGCTGCTGATGCTGCTGGCAGCTTTGGGCAGCCTCACCCCTCAGTAGATGTTCACTTTCAAACCTGGGAACTGAGCTAACGGCTGAAAAGCTTTTCCTTGGCTCAGCAACAGTTTGGCACAGTTGTGATGACAGTGGCTCAGGCAGGAGCAAGCAGTGGGAGAGGATTCCAGCCCTTTGCCTGTATGTCAGCAGAAGAGACGGGAAATGACACACACCACTTTGGAGCACGGGCAAAGATTTCAATGGGGGAAGCACTGAGCAACTGTTGCACGAGCAGTGAACTCCGCGATTGCTCAACTGCTGGCCCCGGGCTCTATTTTAATCCCTCCACTGGGAATTACAGTTCAGTTGGGGCAGCATGAACTCACCATCCTGATGCACGCAGCAAAGCAGCCAAACCCTCTTGCAAAAGCTGAGGAATCCCAGGCTGAAAGTGTCAGCTCTGGTGTATCCCAGGGACCACGTGCAGCAGTACCACAGGGGCAGCAGTGGAGGGAGATGGGGTAAAGCTGAGGTTACACCAGGGTCCCCACCCTGCAGCAGGTGGTCAGGGTGAGAGAGGCAGCTCAGGGACCCAGCTGTGCACTGTGCCAGTTTTCAGACCATTGTGACCTGGCAGGGAGTTTTCAATAGCTCTGAACTCCTCAGATTCTGATGTCTCTCCTCTTCCTGCCCTTGCTCTGCAGGCAGCCACCTGTACAATCCAGTGGGCAGGAAGGCAGCCTGCCAGAGACATTGCAGCCATGTGGAAGCACCTGCCAGCCTGAAATGGTTGGTAGGGCTGGGATGCTTTGGGGCTGCTTGTTATCCACTCATGCCCATTACCCTGCAGTCCCTGGCTATTTGAATGCATGGAAAGCCTTTGTCTTTAATTTTTTAAGATGTAAAACTCTCCTCTGAGGCATTTACCTCACATTATTGATGGATGTCTGCTGTTAAAAGTGCCATCCATGTGCCTTCATCCCTCTGCTGCTCTAAGCAACCACTGTTTTCAGAAACTGAAAGGTGCAGGCCAAAGAAAAGCCTTCCTCTTCCTCCATGAACTGATTTGCAAAGCCACTGTTTTCAGAAACTGAAAGGTGCAGGCCAAAGAAAAGCCTTCCTCCTCATCTTCCTCCATGGACTGATTTGCAAAAAGGGAAGGGTTTCAAGCAGACAGGCAGGTGAACAGGATAGTGTACAAGCCTTCCCTGATAGTCCTCCTTCCCTTGCACCATGGCCCAGGGAGGTGATGTGGTGCTGGGGCTGAGTTGGACAGCCCAGCAGCCATCTGGCATGAATTCCCCATGCCCTGTGTCCCACCTTCCCCAGCGTGGGGCAGGGACAGCTCCAGCACGATACTTTTGGCATCCTACCTGTGGTGCTGGAACTGGGGCACCCCATTGCCAAACTGCACCAGAAACAGTTTGATCCAAGTGCAATGGAATGCCCATGGGGGATGAGCTGGGAAAGAAATTATTCAAATTCAAACTCAGAAAAGCTCCAATTCTGATTTCATTCCTGGCTGCTTCTGTAAACAGTGTGCCCACGGCAGGGCATCCACAGCACACCACATGCTCTGCTTTTGCTCCTTGGTTTTCTTGACCCAGCTTTGTCCTGTATTCATTCACCCAGGTAGGGCTAGGGCTGGATTTGGCCCTGTGTATTTGGGATTATCCTAAGACCCTAGAGGGTCTGTACTGAAATGGGATGCTAGGTAATACCTGGAAGGGCAGGGATGAACGGAGATGTGGGAGCCACCTCAGTGATGGGTATTTTGCTGGTATGAAGGTGCCCTGCCCTGCCCCTGCGCTTTCTGGAGGCTGTGCCAGGGTCAGGCTGCAGCACTGCACTGCGGGGTGACCACTGGCCCAGCTCAGCCTCAGGGGAATTGCATCAGGCCAGCTGCCACCTTTGCAGGTGGGGGTTTCATAACCCCACTGCAACCTGCCTCTCCTGACCCTGGAGCTGGAGCCCTTGGCCAAATGTTGAGAGCTCCTCAAGGCTCCTTACCTCAGCCCAAAATGCTGGTGAGTCAAGAGACACTGTGGACAATCAGGTGCCCAGGAGGATACTGCTGCTGTGGGGCTTTCTCTGTGGAGCACAGCAGAAATGGCCACATGAGCTGATTTCCCCACGGCAAGCCCCAAGTGGGAGGACACAGAGAAGCAGAAGCTCTCTCGTGGCCCGCCGTGCTGCTGGAGAGCTGTGCTGCAGCAGCTCAGCCCCGAGCTGCCAGAGGCACTGCGCCCTTTCTGGCTTTCGCCCTCCGCTCCCTCCCTCCCGGGGGTCCCTGGCACAGGACCCTCGCTCCTGGGGGACACAAAGCACAAGCCACTGCTCCAGAGGGGACGTGACTCCCAGGCAGCGCTCAGAGGTTAATGATTTATTGCTTTATGTCTTAAAAAAGTAATAAAAGCAGTAGCGCCCTCCTTTTGGCAATTCCAGCTAATGATCCCGGATTAGCTAGGACGTGCCTAGGCCCAAGCAGCGGAGTCCTGTGGGTGCTGCACAGCCACCGGCACGGCGCTGCCATGGTGGCTGCAGCATTATTCCAGGGAGTTTCACTTTGTCCTCCCGGGAACGTGCCCCCCGCCGTTTAAAGCATGAGAAGCACGAGTCCGGTTTTGCGGGTCACCAAAAAAGCCGCGGATAGAAGCGAAGATGCTCGTGCACACACACGGTGTCCGACAGCTCCTGCCCCGCTTCCCGCAGCCGCCAGCGGGTGCGTTGCCATCAGCCCAGGGACGGCCCCGGCGCTCGGCACGGGCAGAGCCGCCCTCGGCAGCGCCCGGGCTGCGGCTCCTTGGGGCGAGCAGCGGCCAAGCAATCCCCTCGTTCCAGCCACAGCGGTCCCCCCGCCCGGCGCAGCCCCTCCCTTGACCCCGGCACTCACCGAGCTCCGGCTCCCGTCGAGGCGGTCTGCGGGCGGCGGGGCCGGAGGCACTGTTAAATATTGCAGCCGACTTACTCACTCACTTCTCTTCCTGGACGGCAGCGCAGAGTTTCCACCCACTTCTTTCACCTTTGGTTTCCAGGCTTTCTGAGAAAAGGGGAAGCCGTGGGAGGGAGCAACCGGCATCCCCGTGCCAGGGCCACGGCCCCCAGCAGCCTCTCCTTCCCGGGAAGGGGCGGATGCCAGAGGGGGCCGCTTTCCCGGGAAATTGCGGCGTTGCTGGGAGTGCCGTGTGCCCGTGGCCCAGCACTCCACGACCCTCTTGGGTGAGGCAGATTTTCCTCCCCAGCCGAGTGGAGGGGGCGCCTGAGTGCTGTTTCCCCGGCACAAGCTAAAGGGTGGCTGCCTGACCAGCTCAGCCTCCTCCTTTGGGAGTGAAAATCCCCCCGGGACTCAGACATACCTTGGCCTCACCCCACCAAAGCCCATTCAGTTCCTCCTTTAATGCAGTGCTTCTGCAAGTGGGGACAGTGCCAGAGATGGGGTCGCACACACACCACTGACACCTGTGATGAGCTGTGTCCATCCTCAGCCCACAGAGCCCTGCCAGTAGCAGGTGCTGCCAAGAGCCTGGGAATGTGCCAGCCAGCGTTCCGTTCTGCAGCCAGTGTTTCATCCAGTGGCATGCCCATTGGCATCACATGGAGCTGGCTGCCCTCCCTGGGGACATTGATAGATGATGTTCCCTGGGACATAAAGCCCTCACTAGCTACTGCCAGCTCTGGTGGGTTAGCACATGTGTCTGGTGGGACTCCTTTTTCTTAAAGTCCCATTCTCAGCATTCTGTAAGTGCCACCAAACACACAACCATTATTTTTGCTCAGAAGTGACGTCAGGTCCTCCAAGGTTCCCCTCTGCCAGCAGTCTGGAAATGAAAGTCTGGGGCCCCAGCACTGTCTGTGGCACTGAGCTGACGGTGGGGTGAGCACCACGGCTCCTTCTGTGTCACAGTGAGCAGAAATAAACTGGAAAATCAATTGATGGGGGACGGCGAGATGCCTCACGTGCCTGGCTGCCTGCACTGCCCTGCCCAGGCTTGACAGCTGCCCCACAGGTTCAGATAAAATTTACAGAGTGGTTTTGTCTTTTGGGAGCTGCCATGGTGTTTCTGGAGTGGGATGAACCTGGAAGGCTCTGTCATGGAGGTGACCCAGCTGGAGCCACAGTTTTATCAATGCAAGCCCCCAAAGCAGGCAACATCAGCAATTCAGGGCCTCACAGTGTGTTTTCAGGTGGTTGGATGTGATTTGGCTACACGCTTTGCATGACTGCCACTCTCTGCCCCTTAGCTCCATCAAGGGGCTGGACAGGAACTTTGGCATGTGGATCCGTGATCTGAAATATCTCTGATTTCTCAAGGCAGGGCTGCCCTCCTGCTCACTGGCTGCAGTCCCACCCAAGCATGACACAGCTTACAGCACCCAGCACTCCCTCCCTGCAGCTATCACTTTTGGCAGCTCTCAGTGCCACACTGGAGGTCTGGAGATCTCCTTGCTTCTTCCATGCTGCCTGCTCAGTTTTTCCAAGGCAGCAGTGCAGCATCATGGCTGTGACACTGATGTCGCCATTGGGGATGGGCCATGGCCAAATCCCTCCCTAGCACTGGCTGCATTGCTTGTCCTTGCTGGGGTCAGACCTTGGACATCCCTCTGGCCACTGCTCCTGATACCTTCTGCAGGACGAAGCTTGCCCCCAGAAGGATTTATCCCCCTTCTCAGTACCATGGCTGGCTTGGCCACTTCTTTGCACCCTTCCCCTTGGCACATGGATTCCCCACATGCTCCACATGTGTCTGCCTGCTGGGAAGGGTCTGGTGAGCTCCTGAGTTGGAAAACCACTGGGGAACAGGGGAAGAAGCAAAGAAGCAGAGAAGAGAGAAACACGAGTAGGGCAAACAGGGAAGTCACTGCAGGGCTGCTGCCAAGGGGATGGGCATCAAGGCAGCTCAGACCCTGCATGGGTGGGAGAAAGGGAGTGCACAGGTTTGCTGGTGAGCAACTTTGCCAGCTCCCACGATGCAGGTTGTGGAAGGAAGAGGAGGAAGAGTGTGCTTGCAGTTGGAGTGACTGTCTGAATCCCAGTTTTTGTAGGTCTGGTTGGCAGAGGTGAGCAAGCAGAAGCAATCTCTGGGATCACACTGCAGCACACAGAACCCATCCCTTCCCCATCACACTGGCACAGCTGAGACCTGATGCTGTTCCTAGTCCCCATTTCTCCAGATTCCCCCGGTCTCCTTCAGGCAAAGGCAGCAGGTGTGAGTGAGGAGCAGCCTGGCCCTGCCTCCTGTGGAAGGACAACGGCTTGGCATTTACTGGGGGGAAGTGGGAGCTTCCTGCAGCCTCACTGTGCTGGGAGCACGGCTAGACACAAGGGGTTTGCCCTTGTTGAGGTGCTCCTGTGGGAGAAGAGGCTGGGGAACTGCCTCTGTAAGGCTGGGACTTCACCCTGAGGGGAGAAAATCCACCTTCTAGCTCTGGAGAAGTGGCAAAGGAGGAGAGCAGCTGGCCTGTCCTGCCCATCCTAAGAAATTAGGTTGAAATCCCCCACCTTTGATCTTCTGTGACTGCAGAGAAAGCCCTGCAGCAGGACCAGGGTGTGGTTTAGGGCTCAGAAATAAGCCAGCAATTAGAACACCTCAGTGTTACTGCTGAAAGCAGAAAGTAGCCCTAGGGAAGGGCTGATGTGTGCTTTCTGAGTGCCTGAGCCCCACAGCCCTGTGGGGTTTAGGATGAAAGCTGATGCAGCTGCTCCTTGCCCTAGGCAAGACACTGGAAAGAGGATCAGGGAAATGTCTGCAGCCTCCAGGCGTGTCCCAGTGGCAGCCACTGGCTCTGGGGCTGGAGTGGGACAGGGGCTGTCATGGCTATCTGAGCTGGTCTCCTCCTGGGACATTCAATCTCCTCCCTGGAGGCTGCTCTAGGCTGCAGCCCCAGGCTGTGCACAGCAAGAGCTGCGGCTCTGGAGGCAACAGCCACTGCTTGGCACTTTAGCAGAGAAGCCCACAGTAGTGCCCAGATCCAGGGTCATGCCCAGCCAGCACCTGCTGCCCCTCCACAGGCAGTTTCTCTCAGGTGTAGACTCACAGATGTCTAACACAGAGCTAATTCCACACTTCAGCCTTAGCTGAGGCTCAGTCCATCTCCAGACTTACAAACATCAGGCTTTGTGACATTTACTGGCTCTTGTGTCTTTCCTTTTCCCTCTCCCCTAAGCCAGCAAACTGCCTGCAAGCCCCTGTTTCTCCTCCTGAGAAATGTCACACATGAGGGAAACTGCACCTTTCAGCCTTGCCCTTGGGAAGAAGGATGTGGTGTTAAGGGACAGCTCGGGCTCAGCAGGTGCTTTTTCTCCTGACAGCACAGAGACAGAGATGCCCTTGCTGAGAGAGCTGAGCAGCCTTGGTTTCTCCACAGAGCCTGAGCCTCAAAATCAGGTTTGAGAGGCCACACCAGTGGCCTCAGAGCTGGGGTGGCAGGACAGGCAGCTTGGCTGGTGCTCAGCCTGTCCTCAGCCCCTTTGTTGCCAGCCCTGACTGCACTGGACAGCCTGGAGGGGCTGAGGTGCCTCCATCACACCAAGTGCTCTGTGGGACAGGGCTGCTCCTGCAGGGCTTGCGGATGCACTCACAGCCTGGGGGATGCTAGTGTGGACTCCTGCCCTCCAGGAGCATTTGCACGGCAGCAGAGGAGCTCAGGCATGGTTATAACCATCAATGATGGCCTGCAAGAAACCTCCCCCTGCAAAGGCCTGGCCAGCAGTGGATATTTTCCTGCCAAGGGGACTTGCTCTGCCTCTCTCCCCAGCAGGGCTTTTTGTATGCAGCCAGGGTTCTGCTCAGGCTGTGTTGCTCTGAGCTTGGGCTCCCACTCCACCTGCCTGTCTGTTTTTAGCTTATGCCATATTTTTGCATCCTTTGAGACCTCCTGCTGTCTGGCCACCTGGATAGAAATCTGGTGAGATTTCATGAATGGAAATGAACAGGGGAAATGCACAGAAGTTTCAGCTGGTGTGACCACCAGAGATGGCATTTACCTCTCTGGAGCAACTCCTTCTTCACCCAAAGAGACCCTGAAAGCAGCACAACCCCATGCAGATCCCTACTAAGTGTGATTGCCAGCATGCACCAGTCCCCTCAGTGCTGGCAGACCCAGTGGAAGCATGGCCAGGGGGAAAGGGAGTTTCTTGGGACGTTTTTCCCTCAACGTTCCTGTTTCCCCTCCAGCCCTCATCCATGGATGCTGGCAGCCTTCCCCTTTTCCATGTAGCTTTGCAGAGGGAGCAAAACGAGTGGCTGGGGCTGAAGAAGACTGGGAGATGGAGGAAGGCTGAGGAGATGAGGGCATGGGGAGGCAGGGGTGCCCCTTGATGCATTGCTGGCACAGCAGCCCTGCCTTCCAGCAGCCCTGAAGAAATTTGGGAATCAAATTTGCTGGCAAGGAAGGAAGGAAAACCACAGCGCTGAGTCACTCCTTGGAAGGCATTTGCATCTGGATGAATTCCAGCTGAACCCCCTTCCCACCACCTCTGTGTGGGGTGTCAGGGGTGGCTTACAGGAATGGCCACATCCTTTTCCCCAGGACAGAGCCTCCCCGGCCGGTCACACTCAGCCAGAAGCCGGGCAGCATCCACTGCCGACTTTGGCAGGTTTCCATCAGAAGGCAGGAAGGCTTCCCCGGGGGGGGGAAAGCTCTGTGGTGAGCAGAAGCGAGAGTGAAGGCAAGTGAGGCTGCAAGAAAGCTGAGCCTCTTCCCAGAAATGGCAAAGTGGGGTGTTGCCTTTCAGCATCTCCTGAAAGAGTGAGACTGGGGCTGGTCCTCCATCCCAGCTTTCCATTAGCAAATGGTCAGGATTTGAGATGAGAGTCTGCTCCTGGGATTTAGACTAGGAGAGGAGCAGCATGCAAGAAGGATGGAGGATTGGGAGCATCCCAAGTGCTGACCCAGCACCTGCAGAAGCTCGAGTTTTTGGCAGGGGTGAAAGAGGGGCTGGGGGAAAGGCTGCAGGAGTTACCTACTGGTGGTGGGAACTGGCAGGGGCAGAGGATTCACCCAG